TTGCAATCAGTCATACTCTATTGCTACTTTTAACTAGAAGCAAATGTGAATTACAAAATTACTTGCCATGACATCATACGATTCTCCATTTCTAAATACTTTGCTGTGGCTTTGTATTATTCCTTGAACAATTAGTTCTTCCAGGATGTCTGATGACTTCTGCCGTTCTCGATTCCCTAGGGGTTGGGGCTTACTGATTAATCCATTAGTCATTAGGCCTTAAAAAAAATAAAAAAGAAGAGGGAGAAAGAAAACAAAATTGGAGAATAAAGTTTTTATCACTCAGATGCTATATGAACACCTTATAAAGCATGCTACTTAATCACATCCTCATCACTCTTACCTAAATAAGTGTGTCTATTGGAAATTTTTGTAATCCTTTTAAGTTCAAGTTCTTAATGCTCTTGCAGGGGGACTTGCAAAATATGCAGGTTAGAAAGCAAGTTGCAATATTAACCTAACAAAAAGTCTTCTGTGTGCTGTTATGTTCTACTTTTTGTTGTAACAACATTTACGCACTTGGGCACAACATCATGGGTTCATGCCACTAATTATGAAGCTAAGCCATGGCTAAGAATCAGATATTCTTTTGATGACTGTTATGAGTTGCAGTTCGGTTTCTATGCTTTGTATACAAAGGATCAACAGCGTGAGGTTGCCAAGAGACTTCTAGCTCTGCAACCCTGAGTTTACAATTACGCCATCTGCTAAATCTCGAGCAGTAAAAATACGCCTTTTTGAAAAGAGTCTTTGAACCAAATCAGAACTGGAGTTACAGTGGTATCAGTTAAGTTTTATTTTTATTTTTTTTATTAGGCATTCTAAAAATGATTACTGAACCAGTTTATAGGGGAACCTTTATAAGCAGCACTAATGAGAGAGGCTTCCCTCCCATTACAAATCACCTAATTATATAAATAAGCAAATAAATAGTCACTTTCATGTCATCATATTATAAAATGAAGAGCTCTGGCTTATTAGGTTAAAGACAATTTTGCTTTTCTTGTTAGCAATGTGGAGTCCTCAAAAATGAGCGATCTTCTATTTTGTGGTCATCCAGAGGTCCTGAAAGTAACCAAGTCTGAAATTTAATACAGTTCAGTTAGTGGGTGGAGTCTTTCTATGAAAATTTCTAACTGAGCCAATTGTGCAGTTTGAATCCAGGACCTGGTGGCTTGAAAAACACATCACACATATGTATGTGTGCCCAAAATTACAAAAGGAGGGAGAAATGGAGGAGAAGGGGGATGCAGTATGAACATCACCCAAGGGGGGGGTGCTTTCTCACTTGCCTTTTCTCTTTCTTTGTCTTTGGCAAATTGAAAAAAAAAATTAAAAAATTGATTGATAATCAATCATCAAGAAAAGAAAACAGTAAGGAATTTGCAATCAGTTGTGTAGAGTATATGGAAGTCAGGAAGGCTATTTGACACCCATGTATTTAGAGGAAGTCCATCTCTTCAAGGTTTAGCTTTCTTCCAAATGTATAAAAGACCCACAACTCCAAATATGAAGGGACACAGACAGTCTCCTTTGAGAACGCCACAGGACAATCCAGATTCCTGAGCAGTTCTTTGTAGAGTAACAGAGATTGCACCAAGTTGAAACATTTCTTCTGTGTAAAATATTTTCCAACCTATTTCAATACTTTCATTGAGAGGTTAAGAATTAGTTGGAGAGGGACCAGCAGATGGCATATTGGCTATGTCATTGAACTCCCATGTAGTTGATCGCAGTTTGAGTCCTGGGCCCGGTGGCTTAAACTCACGCCAGGCATGTGTGTGTGCGTGCCCAAGATCCCGAGAGGAGAATGGAGGAGAAGGGATTGCGATGTGGCCATTCCCCCTGGGGGGCGGGGGAGGGTGATTTCTTGCTTTCTATGTCTCTGTTTCTCTCTGTCTTTCTGGTGAGTGCACATGCCTTATAGCAAAAACCTCTCAAAAAAAAAAAATCAGTTGGAGAAACTCCCATGTGTCATCTTCTTCCAGAAATGTGGAGATGGAAACAGCTGTCAGATCAGATCATGAATCACAAAAGGAACAGCCATCAGATCTTGAACCATAATACCAAACTTTCTTCCTTCTTTGGTGAACCTCTTCAGTACTAGAGTCCAGTCTTCCAGTAGGACCTGGTAGCAGACTCCTTGAGGCAGACTGCCTAAGACATCGCCACATGTGTTTCACATATTTTTCTAGTTCCATCAGTTGCCGTTTGGTCATTTTTCACCCTAGTGATTGACTTTGGTATTGGGTTGACTATTGCACACAACAAGCTGCCATCTCTACTTCCCAGAATCAGCACATCCTGGCTAGTCCACAGACCATCTCATTCCATCTTTGTCACTATCCACAGACCAACTTGTTCTCTGCCAAATTTACATTCCCACTCAGAATGGGACTATGCTGCCCAATGGTTCAAGTGCAGAATGTTCATGTTCTGATCAGGTGAGTTTTCTTTATGCTCATTTCATTGAGGTTGTACTTGCTCAGAGTCCAGCAGTGGTGGGCCAGTATCTGTGGGTGGCCCTTCGCTTCACTAAGGTAGCATGACTTCACCCACCCAGGACTGTCCTGACTTAATTCTTTTTTGTTTTTGTTTCTTTTTAAAAGAATGATTTTATTTCACTTTATTTATTTATTTTAATTTGACCAGAGAAGGAGTGAGAGAGAGAAAGTTGCCAGGTCCAGGACTTGAACCATGGTTAGCCATGTGGGAGTCCAGCGCCCTTAACCACCATGCCACTTGCCAGCCCTCTGACTCAATTCTTTCATTTCTTCTACTTTGGTTAAAAGGATGTCAGCTTCTCTCTTGCCTTGTACATCACTGTCATCACTCTGAATCCAGTAACTCCAGTCCACATGGGAAATTCTCAAACTGGTGAAGCTGTCATTCTTGTTATTGTAGGAGGCTGAGTAGCTGTGGTTCTGCCAGGTGGTCATAGACTATACCATCTCCTGCTCCTGGGAACTGGACTGCAGGCCTAGGATGTTCACACTGGTGTTGAGCATGAAGTTGAATGTGCTGTGCAGTGCTGCTGCCATAGTGAAGCTAGGCCCTGTGCCATGCCTGGGGGAGCTGGACCCGGGAGACTGGGGGTGCTGAGTGATGGATCAGGCTTCAGCCCTCTCAAAAATTTTATTTAAAAAGGAAGCATTGGGAAATGTTAGTGTGAAGGTTGAAATTCTTTGCAATATCCTCTGTGGCTAGGAAGAGTAGGGATGCAAGAGGGAGGACACCAGGGACTGCAGGATGGAGAGGAAAGTGTGTGGTGAACATGCCCAAGTCCAAGGTATAGGTGATTCATGAGTGAAAACTCATTACACTAATTTTTAGAAACATCTGCTTTGTAGCTGACTCTCTCCTGAGCTGTTCCCTCTTAGAACTCTCTTGCTACCCACTACCCCTCCACCCCATACCTCCATTGATGGTGGACAGGCAGCTGGACTGATTGTCCTAGGGCATGCCAGGTCCTTGTCTGCCTGACAATATGTAGTCTGTTAACAACACAGATAATTAGCATTCGTGTTGCAGTTTTGCAGGGCGTTGCATTGACAGAATTATCAGAGAGGAAAAAGACGGACACACGGGCCCAGCATGTGGAGCAGAGGAAGGACTCTTCCTACCTCCCCCATCATTTTCAGAGGTCAGGTTGGCCACATCAGAAATGCAAAAGGAGGGTAAATGTAAAATCTGATCATTTGAATGGGCCAGGACAGCCCAAGAAATCGTGTGTGCTAACATACCCATTTTCCAACCCCCACTTGAACTGAGGGAAGAAACTACAGCCAGGAAGGAACAAAATGAAAAGTCTTCCCCCCACCCAAATCAAATGGAATAATACTTTTCCAGAGGTCTATGGAGTTTAGTTTGCGTCAGTGGTTGATCAAATGTATTGGGTCATAATAAGATGACTTAGGTCAACACCAGGGAGTAACTTAAGTAGACATAAGGAAAACCACCAACATTTTCTAAATTGCACACTAGGTTGTAATGACTTCTTTCACTATTTCAAAAGATTCTTTATTGTATGATACCCTGATGGAGAGAGACAGGGCAAACAGTCTGATGTAGGTTTTCTTTCTTTTCCCCAATGTAGATTGTGCTCTTGGAAAGATGTTATGGAGTGCGAGTTTACATTCCTTGAAACTGTACAACTCCTTTTTCTAAGGTCTGATCCCAACTCCTGATAAGGTCTCCTGATTTAAGATACACACACATACACAAATGGTTTTAATTACTTCATCCTCAAGAAGAGGATGAAGGCCTAATGATGAAGGCCTAAGGCTAAATTCTAACGTCTTAAAGATAAGAACCTTGCCATTTAAAACACGTGATGGCCAACAAGGCAACGACAAAAAGGCTACCTACTATACCTTATGTGATGCATTGAGAGAAACGGTATTTTGTAAAGATCAACACGAAGGGGGTTTTACCTGCCGGTGCTCTTCTGATCTGTTCACTAGAAGATGGAGAACTCTCTGGAATGGTGCCAGGTAAGCTTCCTACCCAGGCTTGTGGTTCCAGGCTTGGGTTCCAGGCACCATCCCTGGTGTCCTTGGGCAGAGTCTCCTCTGTCTGGGGACTGCAGTCTTGGGAATGAGTCACACCAACATCAGCCTATGGAGAAAGAACAGCTTTGTGAGCTTTGCAATTTCCTGGAAAATGGAAACACTACTGTGGGGGCCACTTTGTGAATATTTAGCCAGCTGGTTTCTGCAGGAAGTGGAAGGGTACCCAGGAACCTGTAGGTGGCGAAATGACTTAGCAAATATGAATAAATTACAGCTCTCAGGATGGCAAGATTATCCTGATTAATCAGCTGAGCTCTACATGCAGTTACATGTGTCTTTATTAGAGGAAGATGTGGGGTGGGAGATCAGGCTACAGAAGAGGTGATGGGAGTGTGGAAACAGACCAAGGTGAAGATGCTACGGTGCTGGAGAAGAAGACGGAAGAAGGGACCAGGAGCCAAAATATTTAAGGAATATAGCTCTAGATTCAGGAAAAGGCAAGGAAAGGGGTTTTCTCCTTGAAGTCTCCTAAAGGAACTACCTCGCCAACACCTTGGCCTGATTTTGGACTTCTGACCTCCAGAACCATAGGAGAACACAAGTGTGGTGTTTTACACCACTGAATTTGTATTGTCACAGCAGCAAAAGAAAACTAATGTAGATGCTCTTCAACCAACAATGGGTTATATTCTAGTATACTCATCATAAGCTGAAAATATCATAAATTAAAAATGAATTAACGTGTGTGTGTGTGTGTGTGTGTATATAAGGAGAGATAGAAAGAGAACCCCTTCTCCCACCTCCAGTGGAATCTGGTCATGCTGTAATCCTTTTTCCTCCAATTTTTTATCCTTTTAGGATCCTGGACACATACATACCTGGCATGAAGGTGACGGGGCCCAGAGTAAGTACATTCAAAATATTAATATGATCAGGAAAACTTTTCTTGTATCCCCCGTAACTACCATACAGTGCTGGCCTTTCTCTCATTGTGTGGATTGCAACTCTCCTACCTCTCCATTCAATGGAGGTATCAACCCCTTCTCCATCAGAGACACATATACTAGGGGACACCTCTTTAGTGTCCCCAGGAAAAATAAGAACATAAGTACCTGGTCCTGAGTGTTGTTTTCTGGCGCTTCTTCTTATAACTCCTTATTCTGCCTTTTTGGTACAAAGGGTGCTCTTCTCTCCTGAGTCTTTAAAGCACCTTAGGTCTCCACCCTCCACTTCCTGCTCTGTGTAGCACAGCCTTGGTGCACAGTGATACAAGTGTGGATCTGGTCAGGGGAACGGAAAGGGTTAGAGGAGGAAGTGGAAGTCAGGGGGTGGTATAATGATAACATAACTGGACCCACATGGGAAAGGTCTTGGGTTCATGTCCCAGGACCTCCCTGAGCACGCTGGGCATGCATGCACATGCTTGTCATGTCAGGCTGGCTGAGATGGGAGGTGGATCGCAGCATGGGAACACTGTTGAGGATGCTGTCTCTCTGCTTCTTTCATTAAATAAATAAATAAGCTTTGAGGGTTTCTTTTTGTTGTTGTTGTTTTTAAAAGAGGCTTGAATTAGGTCTTGATAAATAAGTTTCCAATAGGGAAGGAGGAAAGGATATTCTAGATGGAGGGAAAAGCCTACACCCAGACTGGGTTATGCAGCCATATTGAGTGTCCAGGAGCTTGAATTGTTCTAGTGTAGCAGAGATAGGCTGAAGTAGACAACACAAGGTACTGAGGTGGGAAAGAGAGGCAAATTTTATATGAAATGGAAAAGGAATCCTTTGTGGGATTTTTGACCACAGATGTAAAATGAAATCATCGGGTGTGTTGCTTAGAGAGGTCGCTCCCGGGTTAGTGGAAGGACAGGAGTGGGAAGAAGAAAGGGGTAGAACAGGGTGGCCAGTTACGGTGCTTGCATTTGTCCAGGTGAGATTTGACTAAATGTGAACTAGGACAGAGCAGTGAAAATGGGGGAAAAAGCTGGAGCCAGAAAATATTAGAAAGGTAGGTAAGACCCTCCCTTCTGGTTTTTAAAATGATGACTCTAGAGGGGCTGGCAGGTGGCATGGTGGTTAAGGTGCTGGACTCCCACATGGCCAACCTGACCATGGACCTGGTGGCTTGTTTTCTTTCTCTCTCTTTGTCTCCCTCTGGTTAAGTTGAATAATAATGGTAATACATAAAATTAAATAATTCTCTAAAAAATGATGGCTCTATTACCAATATAGGAAATACTCCCTTTGGGAAAACTGAATGAAAAATAAGATTTTACCTAAGACTCTTGGTACTTTTGGAATGGTGGTTAAGGTGTTGGATTCCCACATAGCCAACTGAAGTTGTCCTGGACCTGACAGCTTGAAAATTCATGCCAGGCACGCATGTGTGCATGCCTATAATCCCAAGAGGAGAATGGAGGACACAGGATTGTGGTGTGGCCATCCTTACTGGAGGGCGATTTCTCACTTTCTCTATCTCTGTCTCTCTCCTCTCTGGCAAGCACATATCCCCTTTGGCCAAAAAAAAAAAAAAACTTTGAAAAAAAATCATACGAATTTTGAAAAACATAAGTAGGTCTGATGACTTTCTGGAAGCACTCCAAAGTCTGGAAGTTCCTTAGAGGCTAAGTAAAAATCACAATTGCTAGGTTATAGTGACACTATATTCCCGAGTTCTTGTAACTCAATCAGAAATTCTCCCATATTCACAGGGAGACTGCCATAGCTTCTTATCACTGTTTACATAGAAGAATCACTGCAGCTTAAACAACATCAGCTTATTGTGCTGACGGTTATTTAGTTCTGTGGCTCAAGACCGTGTGGGAAAACATGAAAAGCCAGCCAACCAAACCAGCAAACAAAAACTTGATGGATCTGGGAGAAAGCCTGAAAGTAACCATGTACCTCTCTCTCTTTAGGGCCAAAGGGTACATGTGAGACAGACACACACACACACACACACACACACACATACAGAGAGAGAGAGAGAGAGAGAGAGAGAGAGATAAAGCACTCTCAATGGGGTGTATGCATGTGCCTAGCATGCTTTTCAAGCCATAAGGGGGAGACTGGAGTCACCATCGGCCATGTGGGATCTGGCCTCCAATGTACAGAGCCTAACCACTAAGCTATGGGCTGGACCTGCACTTTTCTTTCTCCTTCCACCTGTCGTTCTTCATAGACACAGTTACTAGCCGTGTAGTCTGTGTAGAGTAAGCAAATCTAGGCAAAGAGCTTTTATATACAACATCTCACATGCCACCTGCAACATATGATGTATAACACATATGATTAATGCACACATATTTGTTACACATAACAAATGAAAAAGAGACCTCCCCCCCCATATGATGTTTTTCTTTCAGGAACTCACCGTTTATGCTGCAGGTAAAGAGGCAAATCATGTTATGCATTCTTTTCCTTTTTTTCCTTAAATAGACTATTAAAAACTAATGTCTGTGGTGATAGTAAGAGGAGTATTTTCACAAGTTCACTTTGTTTCACAAGTTCATTTTTTAAAAGGTGTTTGCCATACGGCACATGCACTCACCAGAGAGAGACAGTGAAAGAGAAAGTGAGGAAATCAGCCCCAAGGAGGGATGGCCATGCCACAATCCCTTCTCCTCCATTCTCCTTCTGGGATTTTTGGGCATGCATGCATGCATGCATATGCGCTCAGTGTGATTTTCAAGTCACTAGTTCTGGGACTCAAACCACTATCAGCCATGTGGGAATCCAGCACCTTAACCACCATGCCACCTGATGGCCCTCATTCATCATTTTTTGAACGTAGCAAAGCACTCAGTTATACATAGGGACTAATTTCATCATTTCACATTTCCAATTGGGGTGTCTCAAATCTTAATAGATTCAATGACAGCAGTAGCAGTAGTAGTCAAATACCCATCCTGAAACTGAAAGCGAATGTGAATATTTTCAGTGTAAAAGATGAGTTTTCACAAAGACATTCTGTAGACGACTGCTTGGAAAAGATGTGAATACCACAACCCAATTGTGAATGGCCTCACAACTGTTTCCTCAAAGCCACTTGGATTTGGAATCCCGATCTTAACAAGATCTTTACATGTTTGGGCTTATTTTGAGACAGCCTGCTTCGGAGTGCTGTTAATAACCAACTTAAACTGTAGCAGACAAAACACAATCTTCTAGGGTCAAGCAACATATTCTAGCCTTCATTTTCCAGAGTAGAAACTTAAGATTTTTCTCTTAAAAACTAAGAACGTCTTTCCAATATCTTATCTCTGTGTAACACATTCTGGGAAATGTAACCCAATTTGATGATCAGGATTTGAAAATAAACAGTCCAAAGATCAGAGATCTTTATGAATTAATTAGATCTAGGTCTCAGGGATATGACAATGTTCTTGTTCTACCTAACACATGCAGAGTTCATATTTTCACACCTAGTAAAAGTCTCTCTCCATTCTACGTGGGTCTTACAAACATGTACAGCAAAGGGCACATGACCTTTCCTCACTTAAGGACCTACCTGTTTAACAACTACTTACACTTAAGGCCAATTCTCCAGGGGGAGGAATCCCCTTTTTCTGTCTGTGTGAGTATTGGAAACCCTCTTTCTCAGTCTGCCTCCATCTCCCAGTCTGTTAGTATTCACTATATGAAGTGACTGCTATCATGCAAGACTATATATTTCATTTATAAATTTGTACTTGGCCATGCCCCCATAGTTATATTCAGAATCAATAAAAACAATGATGTGGGAACCAGCAGTTAGCGTAATGGCTATGTCGCTGGACTCCCACATAGTCGATGTGGTTCACGTCCTGGACCCAGTGGCTTAAAACTCATGCCGGGCGTGTGTGTGTACGTGCCCAAAATCCCGAGAGGAGAATGCAGGAGAAGGGATTGCGGCATGACCATCCCCCCTGGCGGGTGATTTCTTGCTTTCTGTCTCTATGTCTCTCTCTCTCTCTGTCTGGCGAGCGCACGCGCCCTATATCAAAAACCTCTCCAAAAAAACACAAAAAACAATGATGTCAGGTTTCTATGATTGTGTTGTAGTGTGTCTTGTTGTGTTCTGGTGTTTGTCTAATGTATGGTTTTTGTATGGAGAGAACTACATTACTCTTGCATGATGCTTTGTGATGTCTACTGAAAAGTACCTACCCTGTGGCGGCACAACATACACAAGACCTTGGCCTTTAAACTACTCACTTAGCCAACTCACTTAACTACTTAGTTGTAGGAGCAGACCTTGATTGTTAGGTGAGGAGTGTTGGTATTAAAACATGCTACAGGGGCCCATAGGTAGCATGGTGGTTAAGGCACTGGACTCCCATATAGCTGTTCTGTTGCAGAAAAATACACTGAGGATGAAAACAGCACTCCAGAAAGCAAAAGGAGAATTCTTTTATTACATTGGTGGGCATGGAGGAGTTAACACTCTGAGTCTTCAGCCCCAGCTGAGAGTTGGACACAGTCTTTTAAGGGTGAATTGGGGAGGGGTGGTTTCAGCACGCTTGGAGTGTCCTATCGGGGGAGAGGCTCTGTGTCTGCCCTAATACAGAGCTGGCAGACAGGGAGCTCAAGGCCTCTGGCTGCTCAACAGTTCAGGGGAGGGGCAGTTTCAGCATGCTGGGGAACAGAAAGACCAGGCTGCTATCAACCAGCCCTGGGCTGCTTCAAGGTTATGCAGAAGTTTCTCTATATCAGAACAGAAATTTCATGCAATTATCAGATTTGGCTTGTTCCACATCAGTTCGAGTCCTGGATTTTTTACGTTCTCTTTCTCTGTCTCTCGCTGGCAAGCACATAAGAACATAAGATATGTTCTTATGGCAAAAATCTTAGGGGAAAAAATGCTACAACACGGATGAACTACTTTTGTACCAAGTTTAATTTATACCTCCATGCCTTGGGGATGTAATTTTATCAATTTTAGACAGAATTTAAAAGGTGTGAATTTTAAGCTAACAGCTATGCACAGAAATCAGCATTTCGGGAAAGGTATTGCTTTTAACTATGAACAGGTGGGGTTTTGTTTGTTGTGAAAATTTTCTAATTCTTTTTTTGGTCTGCAGGTACTACTTGTGTTCAAAAGCTTTAAGAAAATATATTTTCCAAGCAGTTTGAGGACAATCATTTGTCTAGGTTCCCTGGAACTAAAACCTTCTTTAATTAATGATTAACAGATGCATTTTATAAATATATTTGTCTACAGATATATAGGGAGAATTCATTTTTTGAAATTTGATTTTTTTAGTGTAATAATTAATAGGACCTATCCCCCCCCAAAAAAAAAGAGAAGCACTTAGAAATATGATCATTTAAAAAGAAGTAACTTAGTCCCTTTTACTAATAATGAGCAAAAATGTTCTTATCAGATATTAGGGAAAAACTTTGAAGGGTCCCCAGAGAGCATTCATTCCAATCTAGCCTCTTTGTTTTTATTTTTGTTTTCGTTGTGCTATAGGGCCAGAGAGAGAGAGAAAGAAAGAGAGAGAGAGAGAAATCACTCCCCACGAGGGGATGGCCACTTCACAATCTCTTTACCTCCATTCTTTTAGGATTTGGGGGTGTGTGTGCACAAGTACTCAGTGTGTTTTACAGGCTGCAAGGTCTGAGACTGGAACCAAGCAGTTGGCCATCTTGAATGCAGTTGCCTTAACCACCACACCACCAGCTGACCCACCTCTCTGTCATTATAGCAGGGAGGGAACTTTGAGTTATTTGTGGAAACTCAGAGCATTTCTTCAACTAAGAGAAGTTTCTCATGCTTTTCTCATTCCTGTACCTTCTTGCCAGTTTAGACTAAGGTAAACGTGAAGAGAAAGCCTGTAGACAGGTCTTGAGAAGTTAAATTTTAAAGTTATACTGCTAAGCAACATGAATATTTCATGTAAGCAAACATGTCTGTCTCGTTTTAAACAAAATACTGAGCTCCTGAACTCCAAGCCCTATGCACGTATGAAAGTAGAGACAGCACTGCTACTCTGATAGCTGTGGAGTGTTCAATTAAGGCTAATCAGACCGTTCCAGATCAGATTTCCAAAGTCAAGGGCTGGGTGGGGACAGTGCACACGAGGGAGTGGACTCTGAGTCTGTTTTCAGGTTATTTCAATACTGAATTTCCTCCTTGCAGACTGCTGCTAGCCTACTGTGCTACTGTGGGGTGGGGGTGGGGGGAGAAGACATTAAGAATCTGGGACCTGAGAGGGACAAGCAGATACTCAAGAACTATTCGTTTGCCACACCTGATGCAGGTCAGGTGATGCAGTAAGCACAGAAGGTACAAAGATAAAATTGCCCTTGCCATTATTGAGGAGCCAGCAGCTCAGGATTCAAAGCAAACATGGGAGCAGATATATACAATAGTTCTGTACAATTTTTATTGCTATGTGCACTAGCCAGAGACCAGGAGAGAGAGAGAGGGAGGGAGGGAGGGAGAGGGAGAGAGAGAGAGAGAGAGAGAGAGAGAGAGCGAGCACACTCCCTGGAGGGGGGGATGGCCACTCACAACCCCTTCTCATCCACACTCATCTTGGGATTTTGGGCACACATACGTGCCTGGTGTGAGTTTCAAGCCATATTTCGGGAACTGGAACTGTGGTTGGACATGTGGGAATCCAGCGCCTTACCTGCTATGCCACCTACTGGCCCTTGGTGGAGAAGGATTTTTAAGCAAACATTTACCAGGTGATAAAGAAGCATCCTAGCAGTTGTTTTGGGGCTCAGTTCTGATGGAGAAGTAGGGGTTCACCAGGCCATGGAGGATGGGGCTCCTGAGCGCATCTCAGGAAGAGGGTGTGGTTGGTGCAGGCACAGAGGTGTGAGGAAGCTTAGAGGGCTTGAGATCCAGAAACCAATAAGATTCGCAGTCCCATGGCCAGACCCCTTCCTGGGAGAGCTGCAGCTCCAGGGCTGAGCAGGACCTCCACCAGTTACCCCTGCCTTGGCCCTGGGCATGAGCACCTCTGCAGGCTCTCTAAACACAAAAGGTTCAAAACTGGTCTTACAATTGTATATATACAATATACATACTATATATGTAATATACACATAATATAAATGTACATGATATACATAACACACATATATATGTTTAGTATATACATATAAATGTATACAATATGACATGTGCATACACTATATTACATATTATATATGTATATACTATACACATATACATACCCACATATAATATATATGTACATATATACACACACAGTACCTGTATAGTATATACAGCTGAATATATATATAGATACTATATAGTTTCTATATATATATATATATATATATATATATAGAGAGAGAGAGAGAGAGAGAGAGAGAGAGATACTATATCCATGTATATCTACATATCTCTAGGTATATATACTATCAATATTTCTTTTAGCTCCATCCATGGGTCCTGAGGTTTCTCAGGGAAAATACTTTATGATGTCTGTTATTATTCTATCTTTTCTCCTTCCTTCTTTCCTCCTTCCCTCCCTTCCTTCTTCTTTTTACCTTGCACCCCTCTTCCCAGCCCTTCCTGGGCGCAGGGGCACGTCTCTGGCGTCCAGTGGGCTGGGAGGGGCCGCAGCCCATGCTGCGCGGTCCTAGCGCGCGGTCCCTTGCCCGCCCTGCGCGGAGGTCCCGCCGCGCACTGCGCCTGCTGCAGGCCTGCACCCCGCACCTCCAGCTTCTCACTGCTCCACACCCAAAGGCTCGGCGGAGGAGCTCGGCACCCGGCAGTTGCCGGGGACGGTTGCCACAATAAACAGAGTCACGGAGACCTGGAACCTGGGCGGTGGTGGGACTTCTGTAACTCAGAGTAGGAGACTGGAGGCGTCTAAACCACCAGCTAGGATGCAAACGCAGCTCTCTCCGGAGCGAGGCAGGGAAGCGTCCGCTGCCTGGCCGAGCTGGTTTTTACAGTACCGAGGTCTAAGCACCCTGGGGGACCTCTGATCTATTTCCTTCCCGGACACAGAGGAACACGCTCCCAACTCCGGGCCCTGGGCCCTGGGCGAGCGCCGGAGTTGTCAGACGCTGTGCAAACCGTGTAGATGGCTCTGGGGTGGAAGGGACGCAGGTGTCCAGTCGCAGGAGACGGCTCTGGAGGGGAGGTGGGCAGGGGCGATGTCATACAGCGACCTGGGAAGGACGGTCACATTGGCGGAAACCCCCAGACATTCCAGATCTTACTCAGCTCAGCAGCCCGGTCCGGTCCGTGGAGGGCGGGTGCATGGTTCTCACCCGGAATGAAGTCAAAACGGTGTCATCCCGCCAAAACGGCAGCCTAGGCAGACTGCTCAAGTGAGCAACAGGTTCACCTTTCTTGGATTTTCTCTTCCTTCTATCCTCGTTTTAATTGTTTTCAAAATTATTCTTGCGAATTGAAGGCTCCAGAGAGACAGAGAGGAGAAATGAGTCCCCAGGGGTGATGGCTGCAGGGCAGCCACAATTGCTTTTCCCCATTCTCCTTTTGGGATTTTGGGGACCCACAGGCACGTGCCTGGAGTGGGTTTCGAGCCACCCATCAGAACTCAGACCGTGGTTGTCTTTGTGGCAGTCCAGCACTGAACCACTAAGCCACCTGCTGGCCCCAAGAGCTGAAAGGGATTATTATTACTATTTTTTTCTTAACAGAGATTTTTGCTATAAGGTGCATGTGCTCATTAGAGAGACAGAGGGAGGCAGAGAGACAGAAAGCCAGAAATTGAGAAATTACTCCACAGGGAGGATGACCATGCTGCAATCCCATCTCCTCCATCTTCCTCTCGGAATTTTGAGCATGCACACACACACACGCCCAGCGTGAGTTTTAAGCTGCCAGGTCCATGACTCGAACCTGCAGTTGGCTACGTGGGAGTCCAGCCAGTAACTATTACACCATCTGCTGATTCCCAAAAGGGCTCTTAGAGATCATCTATGAACCTCTCATTTTACAGGTTGCAAACTTATGCTCAGAGAAGCTGAGTGACTTGTTCAAGGTCACAGGGCACTAGTTAATGAGGAAGCTGGGAGGAGTAGACAGGTGGCCTGATTCAGTCCCTCATGTCTCCTCAACTTCACCCCCCCAAAAAATACCAGTTAGTATTCCTAGATCCTTCCAAGGAAACTAGTGGTCAGCTCTGTTATAGGGAGTTGATTATTTATAACACTTAAACTCATGTCGCTCTCTCTGTTTTAGTCTGTTTTGTTGCTAATAAAAGAAAATACCTGAGTCTGGGTATTTATAAACACAGAGGTTCGTTCAGTGCATGGTTTGGATACCCAGGTCCAGGAGCATCCCATCATGAGGCCAGGGCAGAACATGTGTGTCCACGAGGCTCTGTGGGTCTCCTTCCTTCTTCTTGTAAACCCAGCAAGAGTCAGAAATGGGGGCCCCACCCTGAACACTTTCATTCTAATCTCCTCCTAAAGGTCTCACCTGTCCATGTCGTAATCAAATGAAGTTTTGGCCTTCTGAATCCCATCACAGCCATGTCTCTACACATGAATTTTAGGCACTGAAACCATAGCAGTTCCTCTTATTACTGAGGTGGTGTTGCTTGTCCATTTTCCTTCTTCTGGAGTTAAAGAAGACAGAGTTCGAGTTGAAGCATTACCGCTATGGAACAGTGTACGTTAAAGATTTATGAGTGAAGAGTTGAAATGAGGCTAAAATGCTGTCAGGGCACATCTCTGAGAGTATTAACTCATGGGTGTAAATGTCACATGGACTGTCCAGCTGGAAACTGAAAAGTCTCAGCTAGAAGAATCCACACGAAAGGCCTCCTAGAAAATGTGGAGAAGTTTAATGAATGTTTGCAGAACCGCAAGAGTGAAATACTGCACACAATTTAAAAAAATAAATAAATAATTTTAATTTGATCAGAGAGGGACAGAGAGAGAAAGAGAAGAGAAAGTGAGAAGGCAAGCTACCAGGTCTGGGACTTGAACCACTGTTGGCTATGTGGGAGTCCAGTGCCCTTAACGACCATGCCACCTGCTGGCCCTGAACACACAATTTTTAAAAAGACTATCCATGAACATAGATTTGCTGTGAATGAGTGGAGTTTTACCCAAATAGACCAAGCAGGTATTTTTTCGGAGCATCCTAGGACTACAGTTTGAAGTTGTTAAAATGCTATTTCCAGGGCCAGCAGGTTGTGTGGAGGGTAAGGTGCTGGATCCCACATGGTCAACTGAGTGGCTTGTGTCCCAGACCCAGTGTCTTAAAAAACATGCGGGGCACATGCGTGTGTGTACCCAAGATCCCAAGAGGAGAAAGGAGAAGGAGTTGTGGCATGGCCGTCTCCCCCTAAGGGGGTGACTTTTCACTTTCCTTCACTCTATTTCTCTGTCTCTCTCTCCAGGGAGCATCTGAGCCTTATAAAAAAGGAAGGGAAATTAAGAAGAAAAAGAAAAAGCCATTTTAAGGGGTGAGCTAGGGCCAGCTAATACTGGCTCAGAGGAGCTGATTATCAGAAATATTTGGACTGTCTCTCTCTCTTTCTCTCTGTCTCTCATAGAAGGAATAAATATACTTAAGACAGTAAGCTAACTCATCAGCAATATTACTTAGTGATTTTTGAAAATTGCATGCTATTGAGATCAGCAGATGGTGTAACGACTATGTCACGGAATTCCCATGTAGTCGACCGTGGTTCAAGTCCCGGACCCAGTGGCTTAAAACTCACACCTGGCGTGTGTGCGTGTGTGCCCCAAATCCCAAGATGAGAATGGAGGGGAATGGATAGTGGTGTGGCCATTTTTCCTGGAAGCGGGGGTTGATTTCTCACTTTCTGTCTCTCTTTGTCTCTCTGGCAAGCATGTGCCCTATAGCAAAAATCTCTTAAAAAATTACATGCAATTCAAATTTGCATGTCCATAAGGCTTTATGGAACACAGACATGCCCATTTACTTACATATCGGTAGCTGCTTTTGTATTTCACAGCAGAGTTGAATTACAAGAGACTGCATGACCTTCAAAGCCTAAAATATTTATTATCTAGATTTTTATGAAAATATTTGCTTATTCCAAAATTTAAAAAAAAATGATAAAGTAACTCCCTCGAGGGCGTTAAATAACTACATGGAATGCTAAAAGCCTGAAAGAGTTTGTGCAATTGTCAGAAGGCAAAGACTCAGGATTAGCCCCCGCATGGGGGGAGTTGGTCTCGAGGTAACCAAACCCCAGAGCACTCTGTGAAGTGGCTTCATTCAGCTCAGCTAATGCTCCAAGTGTTGGCAGAGCACCCTGTTCTGCAGGAGCGCCGTGGATGTGGACAAAACTTCACTGTGTGGCTCTGCTGTTTCCATCTGAGACGGTACTGGGAGTGTCATTGCTTTTGAAAACAGAGAGCACCAGATTGTAAAATGCCCGGGTGGCATTTCAAGTGTCATCTGGAATTCAAAGACCTAATTTTAAAATTCCACGTTGTGCTGGTTCTTCATGTCCCAGTGTCAGACTTTTCAACCCAAATGTTGTATTCTGGGAGCACAGTGCCCCACCTCACACACATCAGGGGGCTCAGAGGTGTCTATATTCAGAATCCTCTAGGGCAGGTTGCTTCAGTAGCTGGTGAGCCCATGTAGAAAGCTCACAAATCTGTCTACAAACAGTTGTGTGAAGAGAACTACTATTACCAAAGGAACATTGTACCAGAATATTGTCACTAAACACACACACACAGCCCATTTGCGTGATCCAGATCTATGCAATCCGTGTGTCCACGCATATAATAACACCAGCAATGAACAACTGGAGTCGAGTCAAAGTGCAGAGAGCCAGCATATTTTAGATATCCCTTTAAGGGACTTGGTATGACAGATTCTTGCAGAGAACAACCAGAAATATCTAAATAAGCCCACAAACAGGGGAACAATTGTTTGCTGAACCTTGGCATTAAGCCAATGATCTTGATGTTTGCTCATTCAATGCAAACTGGGTAAATACAGAGAGAAAACACCAATCTCGGGGTAATAACTCACAGAATGGCAGCTTCCCAGTAGATTTCACTGTAATAATCTCATAGAATGATAAGACTTCCATTTACATCTACCCTTAAGAGTCAGTCCTGAACTGCATTTAGCTATTTCAAGCCCTAACCCTGCACTGAGCTTAATGGGGATGTGTAAGGGAGAAACAGTACTGGCTGAATGGTAGTTGGAAAGGCAAGCTTACTTTTTAGAAAGCTGTAACAACTCTTAAGGTTACACATGGCAATTTTCACACACTGATATTCTCACAATTAGAGAAAAGTAATATTTAAATGATTTTTCACTGCTTCCAATTTTGGCAGTCCGTGGGCACAGAGCTCTGGGACTTTTGAATTAGTGGTGTGATTTTTTTCCCCGTGCTGGCCTTGAACATATTGTTTGACGCTCCAGGGGAGTTTGGCTGCTTGAAGAACTGAAAAATGAAGGGAAGAACAAAGCTCTCTAAGATACTTGAATTTCTTCTCTGTTGGAA